AAGTCTTTCTTCGGTTCTAATTCTTCATTTTTCGATAAAGCCAAAACATGTCATGTCGTAGTGCGAACGAAGACAGGTTTTTAGAGACAATGGCATACATATTTTTCTAGTGTTCTAATAGGCCGCCCTCTATTAAACGCATTACAGAAATGTCATTTCAGAAAATTTGGTTTATATTGGGTGCATTACTTGTTGGAACCCATTATAGATCAGGTGCAAAAACCGTCCGTATTATCTGACGAAAATAAAAAATAAATGGTGCATAAAGTAAGAATTGAAAAAATGATAAAGATAAAATATAATAAATAAAAATGTAAATTAACAATATGAAAGGAAAAAATACGCCTACAGGTCTTTTACATGAATATTGTATCGACCTCAATTCTGTCATCTATGTGGTATAGCGAACGCATTGCATACAACAATGCAGTGTTCCATATTGTCGGTAAATCCGCATTACACACTAGTAATAGGAAGTAATTTCGCTGCCGGTGATTTAATCACAGTGATTTAGAAATTACCGGTAACCAGCGTTCGTTGCTAACTTAGATAACCTTGATCAATGACCAGATATGCCAGATATCAATTTCACCGTCACCGTAACCGTATCAAAAACGTATTTGTATAATAAACCCTTGTGTTACTATCGTTCTTCTAAGGTATTTCATCTCTGCTGCTTGTATCCTACTCTGGTGTTTAATATCAAATTTTTCTGCTCCAGCGTTGGCCTATATATATATAATATATATATATATATATTTAATATATATAAATATATATATATATATATATTATATATATATATATATATATATATATATATATATATAAGTAAACTTTAAATATTGGGTATGCAGCAATAAAAATGAAAGGTGTACTCTTTTAAATTTTTATTCCAAGCTTTCGGACATTGGTTATGTCCTTCATCAGGGAGCTACAAATGTGATGAATAATTTTTACAAATTTGTATAATTAATTAAAAATTCGATACTTACAAACTTAATGAGGTTGTCTCATAAATGATTTTATATAAATTGTTGATAAAATTTATCACAGTCTGTTGAGCTAAAACCTATTCCTATATTTAAAATTTTAAAAAATTATTTAACATTCACACAAACTTAATTATTTTTAAACAAATCTATGACATTGATATTGACATTGGCAAGTGAAAATCTCACATCCCTAATATCAAGCAACTGCTAGTACAACAAATTATAGGCTTATTATTAGGTATATCGTGGAAATATAAATTATTTTATATTTGTTAATACCATTAGGAAGTGAAACTTCAACCTGTCAATGTTTTTAAAACAAAGCCTATTAAATTAACATAAATAAATAAGGTCGTAATTCTAAAAACGTTACAATTTATTGTGATTTTGTTTTGTATGACCCCAGTATCTGTGTGTAAACAAAAATTATTAAATTTAAACAAACTAACTTTGTAAAAAAAATAAATTCTTCAAAAATGAAGTTTTTAATTACTTAAATGTCAATTGATAAATTATTGTTTGTCTTATTGTTGCATTTATCTAGTAGTAACAAATAGGAGAACATTTCATTTAGATGGCCAATACTGCCAATATTTGTTACTACTAGATAAATGCAACAATAAGACAAACAATAATTTATCAATTGACATTTAAGTAATTAAAAACTTCATTTTTGAAGAATTTATTTTTTTTTACAAAGTTAGTTTGTTTAAATTTAATAATTTTTGTTTACACACAGATACTGGGGTCATACAAAACAAAATCACAATAAATTGTAACGTTTTTAGAATTACGACCTTATTTCTTTATGTTAATTTAATAGGCTTTGTTTTAAAACATTGACAGGTTGAAGTTTCACTTCCTAATGGTATTAACAAATATAAAATAATTTATATTTCCACGATATACCTAATAATAAGCCTATAATTTGTTGTACTAGAAGTTGCTTGATATTAGGGATGTGAGATTTTCACTTGCCAATGTCAATATCAATGTCATAGATTTGTTTAAAAATAATTAATTTTGTGTGAATGTTAAAAATTTTTTAAAATTTTAAATATAGGAATAGGTTTTAGCTCAACAGACTGTGATAAATTTTATCAACAATTTATATAAAATCATTTATGAGACAACCTCATTAAGTTTGTAAGTATCGAATTTTTAATTAATTATACAAATTTGTAAAAATTATTCATCACATTTGTAGCTCCCTGATGAAGGACATAACCAATGTCCGAAAGCTTGGAATAAAAATTTAAAAGAGTACACCTTTCATTTTTATTGCTGCATACCCAATATTTAAAGTTTACTTCCTTACGTGCTCAGCAAATACTTCTGGTTCATTATATATATATATATATATATATATATATATATATATTATATTATATATATATATATATATAGTTTCATATGTTGTCAACTTCGTTTTCGTGATATTTCTTTATTGTTAAGAAATCCTCTATTTAGAGCCTGGAATAGTTTTCCTGTACTCTCTAGTCTGTTGATGAAATCATCCTTAATGCTTCTCTGTTATTTATTACTGTTCACAGGTCAGGTATTTATATAAATGTTTGTTTGCTTTATTTTTTATGTATCTATTACCACTTCGATTTGGTTATCCTTGTTGTTTTTCCTCGTTATTTTCATTATCTATGTATTCTCTTTATTTACATTTAGGTTGTATTTTTTTACTTCCTAGTTCCATTTTTCTACATTGTGCTTCAAATTTCCTGCTGTTTCGGCGAATAACACGATCATCTACAAATATGCATATCTCTGCATTTATCATTGGAATTCTATTCCATCTTATGGAGTATTTTTTTAAAGGATTTCTTACATTCTTTCATTATCTCTCTATTACATTTATAAAAAGTACTGTGCTTAGTAACTACCTCCTTGTCTAACGCCTTGCGTTGTATTTTTATTGTATTTATTGTTTTGATATATATACTTTTAGTTGCTTCTATCAGGTTTTCGCTTACTTGTTTCTTTTTCAGACTCTCCATTATAATTTTCCTTTCCACGGAATCAAATGCCTTTTCCATGTCTATAAAACTTAACCTGTTTCATTGTGAATATATGGTCTTGTGTGTTATGTCCT